TTGCCCGAGGCAACAGCAAATCCACTCTGTCCCTTTGGACTTGATAGATGTTTCCTATAATGGAATCATGCGTGTGGCCTTTTGTTTCTGCAGTCTTTCACCAAGCATACCGTTGTCATGTTGCAGTGTGAATCGGCTTTCTTCCTGTTTATGGCTGGATAATAGTTCATTGTGAAGATATGCAGATTTCGTTTATCCTTTCATCCGTCCCTGGGCATCTGGGCCCTGCACAGATTTTGGCTGCTGTGAGGAACGATGCACGTTTTTGGCTCTCACAGGAACGTCTAGGCAGGATTGTGATTCTGGAGTAACTCCTGTGGGTTTGCTTGTCTGTGCTTGTTTGGTGTTTGAAGTGGGACTCGGCATCTCCAGCCTGGCCAGCACATGCTCTCACATGGATTGCACATGCTTTTACATGGATCACACATGCTCTCATATAGACTTCACATGCTCTCACATGGATTTCACATGCTATCACATGGATTGCACATGCTCTCACATGGACTGCATCCCCACTGCCACATGTTTGACTTTCATTTTTATTAATCTGTTTTTATTATCATCTTATGTGCATGGGTGTTTTGCCCATGTCTGCAACACAGGCATGCCTTGTGCCTTTGGAGGCCAGGAGAGGGCGTTGGGGCCCCTGGAACTGGGGTTACAGATGGCTCTGAGTCACCAAGTGGGTGCTGATAATGGAGCCCAAGTCTCTGGAAGAGCAGACAGTGCTCTTGACTGCTGAGCCAGGGTTTTACGTGAGTCCAGTCTAGCCTTAAATTTTCATAACTGAGGGTGACCTTGAACTCCTGACCCCTGGGATTTCAGGCCTGCCCTGCCACACCTGCTAGGATTTTATTTGTTGTCTTAAGTGTAGATGTGGCACAGTCTGATGACCTTGAACTCTGTCTCGTGCCTCAGCCTCCTGCGCGTGGGCACAGCAGGTGTGGGCACAGCTGGTATGCATCAGGTCTGTACCACTACACCCTAGCAATGACGCTAATTTCTGAAGGGCTGCCATACTGCTTTTTAAAGCACTGGACAGCCACACTAGGGTGGGAACACCCATCCGTGCCCCCATCTTTGGCAGGTAGAAGTGTCCACAGTCCTCTCTCCAGCCTGGGCTCTGACTCCACTCTGTGTGAGCTGCTCAGTACGAGGAGGAGGTAAGTGGCTGCATGGGGTGTTGAGGGGGTCTGAGTGGGTCACAAGGGGTACGGGGAGAGGCAGATCTGGTGTCCCTTGAGACTTGCAGATAACAAGGCTCATTTAGAGGACGCCTGTGAGTCCCATGGAAGCTTCCATGCTTTAGCACCCTGAAAACCAAAAGCACAGGATAAAGTACCAGTGCACAACACCACTTGCGGAACACACCGTGAGTTGGGATCAGGGGCCCTGTTACCTGGAGTCTCAGCACCCAGGCAGTGTGAGTGTCAGGGACCTCTGTGTCCCTCAGGAACTTCTAGAGTGTCCCGGAACCCCTCACCGTCCAACACAGGTACTGGACATTCTCTAAGCTCTAACTCATGGGCTCTGCCTGCTGGATCCCACATCCTTAGTCATAACCCCCAAAGTCTAAGCCAGCCAGCCTTTGTCTCTGGCCTGTCAAGTACCTGCTCCCTGTACCCCCCACCCCACCCTGCCCTCTACACCACACCCACCTTCTAGGAATCAACCTACTTGAAACCCAAGAACCCTTCCGCCCCATTCATCCCGACAAGATCCCAGGTCCCTTCTAATTCTGTCATGTTCTTCCTCCCTCAGGTGGGGTCCCCGTCCTTCCGTCTACTACTCAGTCTGCTCAGCCCCCTGCCCCAGCAGCCGAGGCCCACACAGGCCATGCATGAATCTCCACTCAGTCCTTTACCTTGTGTCAAACTGTTGAGGAGGAGAATAAAGAACAAGAGTGGCATTTTAAAAATGTGTCTGTGTTCTTGGGGAGCGGTGGGGTTAATGTGGCCTCGTGCTGAGGGAATGCTAATGGAGGTGTCAGTCCTTCTCTGGCAGGTGCAGGCTGGGGGTGGGGGTGGGGAGCAGCTTCCTGCACCGACCAGGATTAGTCTGAAATGACTGTCCCAGGGTGGAGAGGACCTTTCTCTCAGAAGACATTGTTAGGGTGTTGATTTGCTGAGGGATTGGCAGTTCTCCCAACATATAAGGCAAAGGCAGGGCCAGGCCAGCAGCCGTTCAGACCCTATAAAGACAACAGATAACCAAATTGCTGTCTGCGTCCTCTCTGAAGCTCCCGGCTGGACTCTGACCTTGGCAGCAGCTCTCAGCTCACGGGGTGACTGACAGACAGCAAGTGTGGGAGCTGCGGGGTTGGTCAAAGCCCAGGAACAGGCAGGGGGCAGGGTACTTAGTCCCCAGTTCCCTGTAGACCCTTGTGATCTTGAAGAAGTTTCTTCCCTACCTGGGCATCGGTCCTCACCTCTGCCAAAGGGAAACCATAATTGTCCCTGTCTCTGGTGATGAGAATCCAGTGAATCAGAGGTTTGGCTGCAACTTGATGACATGGTGTCTCTGGATATTAATTTACATATTTAAAAACACCGTCAAACATATTGCTGTTTTTGTATAAGTCTTTTCATGGTCGGTCCCAAGTGCCTTTTGGTTTCTGTTATACTGATATTTTAACAGTGCTTCGTTTTGTTTCTGGAGACTTGCCCTGTAGCTTAGGCTGGGTTAGAACTCAGGCAATCCTCCTGCCTCAGCTTGAGAGTGCTGGTATTACAAAGAGTTTGAGACCAGCATGGGCAACAGCACAAGACCCTGTCTCAAAACACCAAAACAAACAAATGAAACCCAAACACACCAACAAAATACTAGCAAACTTTTCTTAATTGTTTGCTGTAAAACCTACACTGACTTTGCATCTGGCAAAGGGCATATTTTCTTCCTAATTTAATCAGATATCTATCTTGAGGGTTTTCTGTGTGAGGCCTAACTGCTCTCAAGAAGGCATTCTGTCCACCACAGGAATATTTGGAACTATGTAGAGAAGATTTTCCTTATGCCCAAGCTATACTTATTTTAATGTGTTTTTTATGTTTCAGTTTTATATGAAATTAAGCAATGTACTGATCTTTTTGAAAATATGTGTGGGGGCTGGAGAGATGGCTCAGAGGTTAAGAGCATTGCCTGCTCTTCCAAAGGTCCTGAGTTCAATTTCCAGCACCCACATGGTGGCTCACAACCATCTGTAATGAGGTCTGGTGCCCTCTTCTGGCCTTCAGACATACACACAGACAGAATATTGTATACATAATAATAAATATATACATATATAAAAAGAAAATATGTGTGATTACATCATGTAAGAATTTTCTTTCAGCATAGAGAGGGTGGGTGATATCCTTATAGAAAGAAGAAATACAGACTGGCTGGTGGCCCACACCTAAAGAAGCGGCATTTGGAAGTCCAAGGCAGGAGATCAGGAACTCAGGGCCGTTCTCATCTATGCAGCCAGTTGTGGGCAAGTCCAGGCTTCATGAAACCGTGTCTTAAATAAATAAATACTTAAAGAGGAAGTTAATCTGGAGTTTGATTTAGCTATAAACATCTGAGGCTTTATAAAATGTGCAAGTACCTAGGTGTTTCATGAGCATCATGAACACAGGTGACTCTGCCTCCCAAGTGCTGGGATTCAAGGTGGTGCGTTCCCACCACCTGGACCCAAATTATTTCTTAAAGCCTCAGAAACTGGTGCTGGAAAGATGGCTCAGCGGGTAAAGACCCTTGCTGCCAAGCTTGAGGACCTGAGGTCAGTCATTCAGATGTCTTAAACACAAAGTAAAGGTATGGGGGGGTCTCACTGCAGCCGGACAGTGATGGTGCATGCCTTTAATCCCAGCACTCAGGAGGCAGAGGCAGGCGGATCTCTGTGAGTTCGAGGCCAGCCTGGTCTACAGAGTGAGTTCCAGGACAGTCAGGGCTACACGGAGAAACCCTGTCTTGAAAAACCAAATAATAGAGAATAATAATTAATAATAGTAATAACAACAGTAATAATAATTATTATTAATGGGGGACTGGTTATCTGGTTATAATGAAGCTGGTTTGAATAAGACCCTCTATCAAGAGGGACTCCTCGCCCGCTCCTGTCCCTCCCCCCCAATTTTTTCTTCTCCTTTTGAGACGACAGGGTCTTGATGTAGTAGGTTTAGGCCAGTCTCAGAACTCAGGGCCCTGTGCCTCATTCTCCAGAAAGCTGGGGGTTTTAACATGTATTCCTATGCTCCCCCGCTCACTATCATATTTATGTCGGATTTTTGGAACTGTTGTAGTGAGTCAGGAACATCTTTCTTTTCCCAACTCCTGGGGTCCTTGGGAAGTCAGAATATGCTGGGCTTTTCAAAGGAATCGGGACACCCGAGGGAGGCCCCTCACCGAGGTATCTGGGTGCAGAGTGAGGGCAGGAGACAGGAGGTCTGGTCCAGTTCGGCAGTCCCTGATCTAACAATGCCCAGAGCTCCTTGCCTCTCCAGAACTGGAAGCAGAGATGCACCGTGTGGCAGGCGCGCCCTCTGGCGGCAAATTGGCCTGGAGGAAGCACCCGGCTCGCCTGATCCTCCAGGTGACTTGGGCGGTGCCCGCCGGAGCAGAGGCCTTTCCTGTTCTTGGATAGCAGAGCAACCAAACCTCAGCGATGTGTAGTCAGGCCCCAGAGTCACACAGTGGATCCAAATCTGCGGCTTCCCCACCTTTCTAAGCTACGAAATGCCAGAATCTTTAAAAAACAAAAATCAATTCTTTAAAATTTTAAGTTATTTTATGTGCACTTGTTTTAATAATTTATTTTATGTGCATTGGTATTTTGCCTGCATGTATGTCTGTGTGAGAGTATCAGATCTTGGAGTTACAGATAGTTGTTAGCTGCCACGTGGTTGCTGGGAATCGAACTCAGTGGTTTTCGAGACAAGTAGCTTTCTCTGTAGTTATTTTATTTTATTTTATTTGAGCCTGTCCTGGAACTAGCTCTTATAGATCAGTCTGGCCTCGAACTCACAGCGATCCACCTGCCTCTGCCTCCCGAGTGCTGGGATTAAAGGCGTGAGCCACCACCACCGGGTGAACTCAGTACTCTTAACAGTTGAGCTGTTTCTCTAGTCCTGAAATGCCAGACTCTTAATATCCTTACCTAAAACATGGAGACAATTTTCTTCCAGGGAACTGAGAACAAGGCTCCATAGCAGGAACTTTTGGATTGGTGATGCCCAGTTGTCCACCGTGAGAGTGGGCATCAGGACTGTTTGCTGAGAAGAAAGCGCATCTGTCACGTGTTCATTTCCTTCGTTTATTATTAACTGGCATCGTGACAGACAGAGCCGATGGTCCTCCAAGTATGTCTACCCCCAAACCCTGGAATCTGTGACTAAAATAGGTTACGTGTGAACAACAAGATGAACTATGGAATCGCTAGGGAGCTGGCTTTAAAACATGAAGATATTGCCTGGGTGTGGAGACAAACCTGTAATCCACCCTTTGAGAGAAGGGCGGCAGAAGGTTCTGGAATTCAAGCTCATGCTTGACCTACCTCATGGCAAGTTTCAGGGCAGCCTGGGCTATGTGGGAGTTTGTCTTAAACAAACAGACACAAGCTAAGCCTGGGTCATCCAGGTGAACCTGGCTTTTAGCTCCAGGGAAAGAGAGCAGAGAAAGAATAGTCAGAAGTTTGACTGTAGAGAAATGTAACATGGTTGGTTTTGAAGACGAAGGAGGCCTCTTCTAGAAGCGAGGGAATAAAGTGGGGTGTGTGGATACCCAGGAAGGAAGGCGGTTTTACCAACACCTTGGCTTTAGCTTAATGAGAAGAACCTGTGTTGTCTGAGAACTACAGGATGAGTGGGCTTGTTCCTAGGCTTTGAGCCTTGGTGAGAATGTTAGAGCAGCAATAGAAAACCAAAACCAGTACAGGGTTCTCACAGATAACACTCCACGCCATTGGGACAGATAGCATTTCCAAAAGCGGTGGAAAAGCAAATCCGTAGCTACTAGGAGTTCACAGTCAGGGCTGCAGAAAGGTGTCCGCGACGCTGACTCCTCCCGCTGCTGCCCTCGAGGAGCTTTGCTTTGAACTCCAAGATTCCTGGAGTGTCGTGGAAGCAAGGCTGCCAGACACGGCTTCGTTCCGAGTGTAAACTGCCTCCTGGAAGCTCCCCTCAGCTAACATTGATCTTGGCAGTCATGCCTCTCTTGCTGCCCACAATGAATGGATACAGGTTCCCAGGGAAGGCTGGTATGTGAGGATAAACAGATATTCCCAGCCCCAGAGGTCTAGGAGTTAGCTTAAATTAAGAAAAACACACCTACGTCTGAAGACACCCCTGATCAACAGGGCCAGAACCCCTGACGTGGAGGCCAGGAACACGCGCTAGGATATAGTGCTTTCCAGAACTACCCTCAGGGTGATATCAGTGTGCATCGGGGTCCAGATCGGAAGACGCACTCTCAGCTCCCCAGCTTTCTGCTCTCGGGAGGCCCTGCCTGGTGTCTGCGGCTGCAGTGCAACTGCGGGTTGTGCAACGCCTTCCACATGAGCAACATCTCATAGGGCGCAAAGCGGTGCACCAGCAGCAGCTCGCGGTACACGCAGGGGTCGAAAGACGAGCGCTCCGCGCCCGGCATCCGCACGCCGAAGGGCCGGATGCCCTCATGGGGGCTGGGCGCCAGGCCGGCCTGCTTCAGACACATGCCCATGTAGGCGTCGTCGATGGGAAAAAGCGGGACCTGGAGCGCCGCGCTGCGCAGGTCCCGGGCTGTGCGGCTGGACAGGAGGAAGCCGCCGCCGCTGCAGTACACTGGGTAGGCCTTGCCCGGAAAGAGCTGCGGGGGCACGAAGTACTTGCTCCAGCTGTCGCGGATGGGCACAGAACCGTGCATGAGCTGCCCAGTAAAGAGGTGGCTCTCGGGCGACTGCACCTCCAAGAAATGCACCACGTTGGCCGTGTGCACGAAGACGTCGTCGTCGCAGCTGAGCAGGAAGCTCGCACCCGGGCAGCGCTTGGCTGTCCACTCCAGCAGGTGCACGTGCTTGAGCGAGAGGTTGAGGAAGGTGTCCGTGAAGTCCCACTGCAGCACGTCGCCGTGCTCGCGCGCCTCCAGGTCCAGCAGGCTGGCCAGCTGAGGCTCCCGCGCCGCCTCGTCGGGAGGAGAGGTCCCCAGCAGGAAGAGGCGACGCACCTGCCGCCCGCCGTAGCTGCGCTCCTGGCCCCACGTGCGCCGGATCAGTTCCCGCCGCTCGTAATGCGCGGGTGAAGACTTCACGGCCAGCAGCAGGAAGACTCCGCGGTGGCCCGCGCACTTGTGGGGCGCGTCCCACAGCTGCGGGAAGCGGCGGCAGTGGCGGTAGCGTAGGAAGTCTTGGATCCGGGCCGGCAGCTCCTGGAAGCCGGCCGTGAGGTTCACAGAGGCGTTGGCCACGCAAGGGGGCGTCTGGAGGCGTGGCGACAGCTGCACCGCTGCCGCAGAAGACAGGGGAGCAGCGGTGGGGACCTCAATGTTCTTCTGCATGGGCTCCTGGAGAAACCACTGGTGCAGCACCACGAAAGTCACACCCACTAGAAGGAAAGCCAGTGTCTTGGGGTTCTTGGACCTGCGGCCAGGCAAAGCCATCTAGGGAAGGGGGAAGGGCAAGTCACAGATGAGCCAGGAATTTTTGATACCAGTGGGATGCCTCTCTATCCACATCGGATCTCTCCCAGAATCAGGCTCAGCCCTTTCTCAGCTCTGCTAAGAGGTTAAATGACGCCGGGACCATGGTGCATGTCTTTAGTCTCTCAGTATAGATGAGGAGGAACAGGAGGATCCAGAGATGGGGTCATCCTCAGCTCCATAATGAGTTCAAGACCAAACTGGGCTACATGAGACCTTGTTTCAAAAATCAAAACAACCAACTAACCAACCCAAACAAACACCAAAAGGGCCCCATGCAGTTGGTATAGCGTCTAGCCTGAAGGAGGTCCTGGTTTGGGTAGCCAACTCTACATAAACCGGGTATGGTGGCTCACACCTGTAATCCTGGCATTCAGAGAGGCAGGAGAATCACTGAATTGAGACTAAACAAGGAGCACAGGTGAAGTGAGGCCCAAATTCCTGCACTGTAGGTCTCCTGAGTCGAGAGTACACTCATCTTCACAGCTGTGTTTATCATGGTTGATGCACACTCTCCTGGATGCCACCCAGGATGGCAGACACCTGTTCAAAGTCAGTCTCGATCTGGCTGTGAGTCACCAGCCAGCCCTTTCTCTGCCAGTGGTACCCCCATCCACCCATTTGCTCAAGCAGAGGCTCCACATCTCTCCCCTGCCCTCCTCAGGGTGTGTCTCCTCCCCGCACTCCTCTGATTTTGCATTCTGCATTTCTCTCAGGTTGATCCCTTTCTCTCCATCTCTGCCTAGCTGGATCCCGTGCTGGCTGGAACAATACAGTGGAGTAAATACTGCTTGCTTGGGCTTAGCTTCAGCTTCTGGTGAACAAGCTCAGGATGGCTGATCAAGGGGGCACAAGGTGGGGGCACGAAGCCGGGGCACGGACGTTGTTGGTCACTGCTAGGAACTGCACCTCAAGCAAGCCAGTCAGATCTCTGGCCCTAGAGAGAACTCTGTAACGACGGATTATATTACATTCACCACGAGCATGGTGAGAATTAAGGAACCTGTGGCCACTGAAAGCTATCCGACTAGGACTTTGGCATCCTCCACGCTTCTGTGTCTGCCTGTTGGTATTTGTTATCAAGACCTGGCCCTTTGTTGCATGGAGCCTGCTCATATATATGTCCTCCAGCACTGCAAGAAAAATTCCACATCTCTAACCTTTCCCCTGCTTAATTGTGCACGCTGGCACCGGCACGCAGCACTGTCATTTGTGTGTGTGTGTGTGTGTGTGTGCGTGTGTGTATTTTTGTATACAAGGATCTTGTATAGACCGTGAAAGCTTCAAACTCCACATGCAGTCAAGGATGACGACCTTTAATTTCTGATTCTCTTCTGTCCTGGCTAGTTTTAAGTCAACTTGACCCAAGCTAGAGTCATCTGAGAAGAGGGAACTTCAACTGAGAAAATGCCTCCCAAAGATCAGCTGCAAGGCATTTTCTTAGTTAGTGATCAGTGGGGGAGGGCCCAGCCCGTTGAGGGGGGTGCCATCCTGGGGCTGGTGGTCCTGAGTTCTCTAAGAAAGCAGGCTGAGCAAGCCACGAGGAACAAGCCAGGAGGAACAAGCCAGTATAAGCAGCACTCTCCACGGCCTCGACATCAACCCCTTTCTCCAGGATCTCGCCCTCTGAGTTCCTGCCTTGGCCTTCCTCAGAAAGCCACGAAGGATATGGAAATCAAACAAACCCTTTCCTCTCCAAGTTGCTTTGGTTATGGTGTTTAATCAAGGTAATAATAACGTCAGCTAAGACCTCTTCTTTCACCTTTTACAGGACTGGCCGGCTGCCCCTCCCTGCTTGAGATACCCGGAGTAAACTTTAAACAGAGAGCGTACACACATCATCCTGCTCTCTCTCACCAGTCACCTGGCCTAGCCATCTGCCATGCCTCTTTCTGCCCTGAAATTTTGTCCTGTATCATTTGCTAACTGCACAAATCTCGGCGACCTTAGTCATCCATCCTGTGGTACATTTGAAGCTGTAAAACCCTGACTGTGAGCCTCAGTGGAGGCCAAAGGAGAGCAGGCACCTTGTCGGTCATGCCCCTTTACCTCCCCTCCTGCCAGCCTGTCAGCACCTCTGTGGCAGGAATGGAATATGTGTTCCTCACCATTGTAGGCTGAGGGGATGGCGTGCTGGGGCGAACGCTGCTTACCAGGGTTCAAATCCTGTTTCTGCTACTTTCCGGTTGCATGATTAAGCAAGCAGTCATGGGTTTGTCTCACACCTAGCCCTTAAATGTTCGTTTTCTTAATTTTTGTTTGAGACATGGTCTCACTCCGTAGTCTACGCTCGTTTCAAACTCTGGATCTTCTTACCTCAGCCTTCTAAGTTTTGAAATTACGGGTATATTGTACCACACCTGCTCCTCTGAAGAGTTTTGTTCTTTCTTTTCTTTTATGGGGTGTCTGGTGTTGGGGAGCCAACGTGAAGGCCTTGTCAGCAAGTACAGTGCCACTGAGTTATGAACCTGGCCCTCTCAGTGACAAGGGAGGAGCTATGTGTATAAAGAATTCAGTACAGAAGCCAGGGAAGGGAGTTCACACCTATCATCCCAGACTGGAGAGTTAACAGGGTGACCGCAAGCTTAGAGGCAGCCTGGGCTATAGAGAGCGGCTCAAAGAGGACCACTGAAATGGTGTAGTGGAGTACGGTACTTGCCGCTAAGCCCTGGAATCCACATGACAGAAAGGGAGAAATGACTCCCAGAGACTGCCCACTGACCTCAACACCCATGCATGTACATCACAAATAACCTTACACAATAATGATGGGAATAAATGGCTTTTGAAAGCCAAAGGGAGAACAGTAACTTGGTTCAGTACTTATATTTACAAACGAAACGGTAAGTGTTCAGTAAATGTTAGCTGGTATGATTGCCAAGTGCGAAACACCGTGTGTTTTCAGGCAGTAGCTTGCGATGTGAGGTGTTTGTTGTGGGACAATCTTTTTGTACACGGTAAAGATGTGTCACTCGGATTTGGCTTCATAAAAACCTGAATGGCCGGTAGCTAGCTAGGTAGAATTTTCCAGGCCCAGAGGATTCTAGGAAGAGGAAGGGCAGAGCCGCTAGCCAGATGGAGAGGAAACATGGCATGTAGGAGATGCGGTAACAAGCCATGAGCCGTGTGGAAGCGCATATGTTAGTAGAAATGGGTTCATGTAAGCTACAAGAACTAGTTAGAGACATGCCCAAGCTATCAGCCGAGCCGTCATAGTTGACAATAAGTCTCCGCGTGGTGATTTGAGGGAAAGACTCGCTACAGGTGTCACTGGAACAGCCTTGCTCCAGCGCTTCCGTGTTTCAGGCCATCCAGTGTCTAGCACAGAGCAGGTGCTCCGGGCAGAGGGGGAGCGGTCAGCTAGGTGCAAGCGGAGGACGGTGCACACACAAGCGGCACTGCTGAGCGCGGTTAGGAAGGCCAGCTGTAGATTTCCGCTGTTTTGCTCATGGTCCTGCCTCGGTGCGGGCACACCCGAGGAGGGATGGTGACAAACTGTGCCCGTGTGACTGTCACAGCTACTCAGAGCATTCTCTATGTCTGGAGAAGGTGAGCCAGCGGTTTTTTCTTTCTCCCCTTTCTTTCTCCCGCCCTCCTTTTCTTCTGACAAGGTCTTATGTACTCCAGCCCCGCCTTCAACCCATTATGTATCCAAAGATAATCTTGAACTTCTGAGCCCTCTTGCCTCTTATCTTACCGTCCAAGGCTAGAGTTACAGGCACGTGCCACAATGCCCAGAGAATGTGGTACTGGGAATGGAACCCACAGCTTCATACAGGCTGGACAAGCGTTCTACCAACTGAACTACACCGGCAGCTGACCTGTGCTCTACCAACTGAGTGTAAAGACTTTTTCCATGAACAAAAGAATGAAATATGAATGAACATAGACTTTGGAGTCTAAATAACTGGGTTTGAGTCTCAGCTCTTTCTGTGGGTTAGTTAACTTTCAAGGTTTGAGTTTCCTCCCTGAAAAAATTAATCATATCTCTCAGTGAAATAAAATAATCATATACATGCTAAAATGCCTTACAAATGCTAAACTAATGGTGATGCATGCCTTTAATCCCAACACTCGGGAGGCAGAGGCAGGTGGATCTCTGTGAGTTTGAGGCCAGCCTGGTCTACAGAGCGAGTTTCAGGACAGCCAGGACTGTTATACAGAGAAACCTTGTCTTGAAAAACCAAAAAAATTAAACTGTTATATTTTATGTTTACTTTTATTTTTTTTTTAGACTAGCTGGCCTGAAACTCACAAAGATTTGGGATTTAAGGAATGCACTGGCAGGCTCAGGCTGGTATTTTTGAGACAAGGTTTCACATGGCTTAGGCTAGCTTTGAACTTCTGATCTCCTTGTCTTTATCTCCCTGGTGCTGGGGTTACAGGCATTTACTACCATTCTCACCTTAAAACATAGTTTAAAGACATCTCATGCCTGTAACCCAGCATTCGGAAGGCTGACACAGCCTGGGCTATACATAGCAAGACTGGTTCTTTGGTGGGTTTTTTTTTTTTTTCATGTTTTCACCTCTTTGCGTTGAGTCATTTCTAGAAAGAAAAAAATTCTCAGTCTTAATGCATCAGTGAATCTGGTTACAAAGAAGAGTGCATTTCCTCTGTTAGGTCAGAAGAACTTGGGAGCACAGCCAGCTTTCAGGGGAATGCAGGACAAAGGTGTGCCTGGAAGGGCCGGCCCTTTCTGAGGGCGGAGCTGGCTCTCTCTGTGCTAGGATGTGAAATCTCTGACTTGGCTCTGACTTGACACCAAGTATCCTCTCTTGCGGTCCTTTTTGCTGGACCTCCCTTTTCTCAAGCTGCTCCTCCAGGTGCTGGGAGCCTCTCCACCTAAAGCTCCGCTGGTCCCCACCCACCCTGCTCCCTGACTCAGCTTGGACTCAGCTCCAGTACCAGCTCCTCGAGGTCACTTTCTGGTAAGCCCAGGTCAACAGATCTGTCTCCTTGGTGCTGTGGCTACTGACCTGGCCTGAAAAAGGACGGTCTGTCTCTTGAGCCGTATCTGTGGGATTGGGCAGGTTGTCTCGGTAGCCCATGCTGGGGGTTGATGTCACGGTAATCTTAGCATCACTAGGGGCACCCTCGTGGAGCCAGGCTAGCCACCCTCTGAAATGCTGTCTTGTCCTGGCATTCTGTGGTCCTCTGGCCACAGTTCACTGCTTTCTGTTCTACACTTGTAATAAAATTCTCTCTGCTAGGAATTCACCCTTTTCCCCAGCAAGAACTACTTAGGCTATTTCCTGCCCAAATGTCAGGGTCACCATCCAGTCCCCCAGAGGCACTCCAGGGTGTTCCTGGGGTGGGGGTTATCTGAACAGAAGACATGACAAGCAAAGGGACTTCTGCTATCTCTGGCCCTCCCCAGCACCCATGAAGACCTAACCCCTTGGGACTGTATGGGCTGTACAGTTTTCTTATCTAAGAATGAAGAGAGGAGGGTGCAGTTAATTTCCAAAAATAATGACCCCAGGATTGGGCAAGATGGGTCAGGAGATGGCCCTGCTGCCAAGATTGACAACCAAAGTTTGATCCCCGGGACATACATGGTAGGAGAGAACAAATTCTTCAAGTTGCCCTCTGACTCCATGTGTGTGTTCTCTTGCGCTCTCTCCCCCCTCCTCTCCCCCTCTGTCTCCCTCACCCCCTCCCCTTTTCTCTCTCCCCCTCTCTCTCTTTCTCCTCCTCCCCCTCTCTTTCTGTCTCTCTCACACACATGCAATAAATAAATAAATAAATAAATAAATAAATAAATACACCGCTTCTCAATGAGAGGATCCCACCCCACCCCATCTTACCTTGTGTGTTTGAGCGAGGAGAATCAGTCCTGTGCCACCCCAGACTGAGACAACCTTTGCCACACACTGGGTTCCACTCCCCATCTCCACCCCATGACAATGGCTTAATTTAGTCTTCTTGCATTCAACCAATCCAAGCCATCACTCCTCCTACTCAGGGGTAGGGTGAAGGTAGCCACAAGGTTCTTTAGTCCGAGCAGCTGTCTGCTTACTCTTTCAGATCAAGCTTGGACGCTGCCTCCTTTGGGAGACTCTTCTCTGAGTCCTCTGCCCAACCTTTTCTGTATATTCTTTGAGGGATTACAGATAGACTGAACAACCATCTAGACGCTGACTCTCGCAATCCAGGTCTTCTGCTAGATTAGAACCACTCCAGGTATGGGACCTGCTGTTAACAGAATATTCTTTAAAGTCTTTATTGGAGAAGTTGCTTGGGGCTTGGGAGATAGGTAAAGAGCTTGCCAGTGTCCTCCTATACATGCACATATGCATACACACACACACGCATATACATCTGCACACATAAACTGTTCATATATATGCTTTTAAACACACAAAGGATGTTAGAGTATACTGATTTTGAGAGTACAAGCACTGGAACCTAGGGCCTGTGCATACCAAAATTGTGGTAAACCACTGAGCTACCACCTTCTCCCCGCCCCCCAAGTTTTAACTTAATCTTTGAAAAGTTTCACCCAGCTCCCAAGTACTCTGAACTTGCCAGGTGGTCAAGAGTTTATCTCATGATTTCCGAGAGCGCTCAGGATAGAGCTGAAAGTGTGTAGACATACCCTCAGCCCTTAAGGAACCCATCATGTCTTAGGAGACAGAAACCATCTGGAAAAGGAAAAGGAAATTATAAGACATGAGCAGAAAGGCAGAGAAAGCTTGGGGGAGGGCACTGGAGTGAGCCTGGCAGGCGTCACATTCGAGTTGCTTTCTGGCTGGTGGAGTGCTTAATGCAGACTCTGTGAAGAACCTCAAGCAGACAGCCACAGCAAGGACGCCTCAATGCTCTGCGGTCTGTTTGACTCAAGTTTCTTACGTGCGGCCCACCAGTCTCCTCCTGCGGCCATCTGTATTCAGTGAGTGGTAAGCCAAGGGCTGGCTCAGCTGGGACTGCTGAATTTCACGACACAGTGGCCTCAGGGCTCTGGAACTTGCACAAAGTCGATCCAAGTAGCTTATTGATCAGAGTGTCATAAGAGCGCCCCAGATGAACGGGGTCGAGAGTTCCGGAAACTCATGGTGATATTTAACCGGTCCCATTGAGGTCTGAAGATGGTCAGGGGTTCCCACGGCAGACAAGGAGAGGTGTAGAAGGGGAGGAGGTGCTGGGAAGGAGAGCTAGCCTGTGAGGCACTCAAGGCCCATGGAGGTTGGAACGCTAGACCTGAAGACACAAAGAAAGTTGAAAGGGCTGGGGAGAAGGGCCTTGAGTATCATAACTTTTACTCGATTATTGGGAAAATTTCACAAGTTGTTATTCACATTCATGAGTCTACTATCAGCCTACACTGGAGGTTAACAGGAAGATAATCCCGGAGGAGGGGTAGTGCCTAGTGCTGAGGCCTAAGTAGGTCGGGGCTCTCAGGGTAGAGGGGTGAGCATCTTCATGGCTTGGCGACTTACCTGAGGGTCTGCATGAGATGACTGAGGGGCGGGAGCAGGGGAGTGGAGGGAGGCAGTCTAGGGTGGGAGAGAGCAAACGTTTCTAACGGGCTGTGTCCAGAAGAGCAGGTCAGTCTACAGATCACGGGAAACTTCACGCAAGGGTGGGTTCTGTCGGAGCGGGAACACCAGTCAGATCTGGGCAGGAGCAGACCCAGGAAGGGATTCTACCATATTCCTCTCCAGGACTGGGGCCCACCAGTTTTGAGGTCATTACTGGTTGGCTGACTGGATTTAAACCTGTTTTCTTTAAGCCCCTGCTAAAAACTCTTCTTCACGGAAATGTCTTCTGTAAGATTTGAGAGTAAGCTGAGGTGGAGAGGATTCCTGGGGGTAAGGTTATTAGAATAAAATGAAGGCCTGAAGATACACATGTATGGCCTCTGTAGGAAGTCTCTGGAGTGGCCAACGCTAATGTAGGCAAGGACGTGGGGGAAAATGGTTTTGGAGACATATGCTCAGCTCAAAGGGGGATTAAAGCAAGCCTAACCCAGTTTTTTCTTTATCTTCTCCCTTATAGCAGGTGGTGTAAAAAGTCTTGGTCCGCTGGCTATTCTGCCACACCTTTGGCATGAAAGACAGGTGTGTAATAAGAGCCTTGCTTCTCACCACTTCCAACACAAACAGGTGCTGTGGGCACAGGCCCAGTCTGATGTTTGTTCTAGGCAACGCGGATCAGTGAGAGGGAGTTGACTCTGTCTGCCCAGAAGTTATGAGGTCCTCAACAGTCTTGGGCGAGGTAATCTATGACGGGGACACACGGAAGTTACTCAACAGTCCCAGACCAGGTAATCTATGACCATTCACACGGAAGCCACCTGTTGGATTTAGGCTACAGAGTGCTAATCCTACATCTCACAAATACAGAATCTAAATATTAGTTAAGTAACTTGGCCACAGTTACACAGCTCTTCGATGGAGGTCCAGGATCCTAGCCCAGGTTTTCACATGCACAGCAAGGAAATGATGTATCTAACAGAGGATAACTCAAAGGATTAATGCCTGTGGGCTCCAGCAGGGTGCTGAGTCCCTCTTCATGTCAACTCCGTAGTTAGCTCTGCTGACAGCCGTACCCTGCTCAGCCACTGGGCCTCTCCAGGCTTTCCTCTAAGTGGCTGGTGTTTCTTTAAATTGAGGGTCTGTTAACCTTCACAGACTTAGACGGGTCTGTGTCTGCAAGACCTGGGATCTGAGAACCTGAAAGAATAGGCCCAGTGCAGTCTAATTAATGCTATTGATAGGCTCACTTCAGGGTTATACTTTGTTTTGTTTTTATACTGGAAGGTAACGAAGAAAGCAATAATCCAAGGAAGGTTGTTTGAGTCCAGAAATACATGATCAGAAAAGCATGTAAATAAACACCAGCAAGCACATGCTAAATATTAACCAACAGAGCAACCCTTTCCCAGAACTTTCTCAGGACAGACCACTGTAAATGCAGTTGCCTGTCACGTACTATACATTACATCTGGGAAAACACCAAAGCAAGGCAGAAGGCCATATGCAGATTCAGAGGACAGGGAGGACGGTCCTCAGCATATGTTTTCACATTTTGGGTCGGATTCTATAGCTATGCTTCGATATCCTGTGTTATTAGATACAAGAATAAACGTATCTAATAAGTTTGTTGTAGGGAGGCTGCTAGTTTGTTCTGGAATAATCACACAGAAACCGTATTATTTAAATCACTGCTTGACTCATTAGCTCTAGCTTCTTATTGGCTAACTCTTACATCTTAATTTAACCCATTTCTAGTAATGTGTATCGTCATGTGGCTGTGGCTTACCTGGTAAAGTTCACAGTGTCTGTCTCTGGTGGGGCTACATGGCTTCTCTCTAACTCCTCCTCCTTCCTCCCAGCATTCAGCTTAGTTTCCCCATCTACTTCTATTCCCTGCGCAGGCCCAAGACAGTTTCTTTATTAACTAGTGGTATTCACAGCATACAGAGGGGAATCCCACATTACCTCCCCTTTTCTGTTTAAAAAAAAAGGAAGGTTTTAACTTTAACATAGTAAAATTACATATAACAAAACAGGTATCAAGTAAGAATTACAGTTACAATATTTATATTTACTTCATCTTTTATCATAACTAAGGAAAACTATATTATTATTGTCTATTCTTCAACTCCATCAAAGACTCCAGAAGGATATAATATTACCTAAGTAAACAGGAAGTATATTGTAAGCAAATTCCAAAACTCTAGAAATGACAGAGACGGCTCACTGCCTGGACAGTCACCCAAAGTTATTCTGCACCATTGGGGCATCTATCTTCAGCCTACTGGTCCATAGTATCCAGCAGACTTTTCCATAAAGCAGGAAATCTCAAAGACAGTGTAGTTACTTTCTTCTGTATCCTGCAGAATGTCTGGCAGACTGTTTCATGAAGCAGGAATCCTGAAGGATCATCTCACCTTTAGGCAAGTTCAGCAGTCATTTCTCTGTGGGTCCTGCACATCCTGTTCATCAAGCAGTCCAGACAAGGGCAGTTTCTTGCCCAAATGGCTAACCAACTCTATAAGGAGCCTCTTTGATGCCCATCATCCTCTTAAAGTAATTGGTGCTGCCAGGAACAGATGTCTCATTGTCATGAAAAGTCCTAAGTTCTTAAACATTTTAAATGCCATATTCTGTATTTAAATCACTGCTTGGCCCATTAGCTCTAGTTCCTTATTGGCTAACTCTTAAATCCTAATTTAACCCACTTCTAGTAATATATGCATTGCCACATGACAGTGGCTTACCAGGTAAAGTTCCCAGCGTCTGTCTCCGGATGGGCTGCTGGCTTCTCTCTAACTCCTCCTCCTTCCTCCCAGCATTCAGTTTACTTTTCCCTCCCTACCTCTATTCCCTGCGCAGGTCCTAAGACAGTCCTTTATTAACCAATGATATTTGCAGCATAGAGAAGGGAATCCCGCATTATGAATTGAATGTGAATATTGTCTCAGGAGGCACAAAATTGTGACTAGGAACAGTCCAGGGGACCAAGGCCCTCTGCTTTTTATCCCTGGATCCTCTCTCACAGCTGCTCAAGGCACCGTCCACCACCTTTGACCCTGTTCCCGTCAGGGTTCCTTATCATCCTGAAGTGAAGCGACGTGACCTCACCCAGGACTTAGCCCTTCTGTGAGTTCCATTATCTCTATTACTGTCTTTGTTTCTAGAGTCGATGACTTTAGTCCAGATTTCAGTCGCAGAGACCCACTTATCACTGCGATATTCCCAGCATCACATCCAGACGGTAAGCACAAGGGAGTTGGCTGGGCGTGGTGGCCCCTGACTGTGATTCCCGCACATAGGAGTGAGGCAGGATAACCTAGACTTTGCAGTCACTCTGAGATACTCGGGAAAGGGTTCTGTCAGAGTTTCTACTGCTGTGGTACAGCATCGTGACCAAAAGCAACTTGGGGAGGGAAGGGTTTGCTTCTACAGCTTTCAGGTGGGGGCACAGAAGCCCACTGACTTACTTCCTTAAACATCTCAGGGTCACCTGCCCAAGGTGCTACTGGGCCCTCCCATGTCATTAATCAAGACAATTCTCCACAGATTTGTCTACAGGCTAATTGGATGGAGGTACTTTCTCAATTAAGAGCTCCTCTTCCAGCCAGGTGATGGTGGCGCCTTCTTTAATTCCAGCGCTTGGGAGGCAGAGGCAGGCAGATCTCTGAGTTTAAGGCCAGCTTGGTCTACAGAGTGAGTTCTAGGACAGCAAGGGCTACACAGAGAAACCCTGTCTTAAAACAAAAAAACAAAAACAAAGAAAGAAAAAGACAGAAAAAAATGTCCTCTTCTCAGACACGTCTAGGTTTGTGTCAAGTTGACAAGTAAAATCAGTACAACTGAACCTTGTCCACCTCCCCCAGCTACCAGGACCCTGGGCCTAATAGTTTCAAATGTGCATCCTGGATAAAAATTTTCCTCTAAACTCCTAAACTTGTTTCAATGTGGCTAGCCCCAGGTGGTCCAGCCTCACGGGCAGTTTGTACCTCCCTAGCCCCAGATGGTCTTGCAGGACTGCAGCCAGCATCCCAGTTTCCTTGGGTCCCCAAGGATGTCCCCCAGATCACAGGAAGCAGTCTCCAGAGCACGGCACCCCATTCCTGCCTCGCCATCGCCCCTTCCTATTTCCTCACTTTTTTAAAAAAATATTTATTTATTTATTTAGTATACAATATTTTTGTCTGTATGTCTGCCTGTAGGCCAGAAGAGGGCACCAGACTCATTACAGATGGTTGTGAGCCACCATGTGGTTGCTGGGAATTGAACTCAGGACCTTTAGAAGAACAGGCAATGCTCTTAACTGCTGAGCCATCTCTCCAGCCCATATTTCCTCACTTTTATACTTTAAAAAAAGTGCTGGAAGATCCCCCACAGAGCAGCCGCGAGCCCAATGGGTCCCGAGCTGCTCGTGGCGGGTCCCGGGAGAGCCGCTTGCGGTGGGGCGGGCTGGTCCTGCCATCAGGTGTGAGCAGGCTCTAGCTAGCCCGGCAGAGACGACTGTGGGTCTCTGCAAGATCCCCAGGGGCAAATGAGCAGGCGGTACTCACAGAGCAGCGGGAGCCGTGTCCCGGGAGAGCGGCTTGTGGGCACATCCCGAGACAGCAGCTGGTTGTGGGCAGGCAGACACACGGCAGGCCGGCAGGAGACAGAGACTGGATAGACACCACATGTAGAGTGAGATTGAAATATTTATTCAGGGGGTTATGGAGGAGAAAGGGAAAGGGGGCAGAGAGAGAAAGGGAGAGGAAAAGAGAAAGAAAGAGAGAGAGAGAAAGAGAAAGAGGAGAGAGACAGAAAAGGGCCAGAGAGAGAAAGAGAGAGAGAGAGATGCGGGCACATGCCAGGTGGGGACAGAAAGAGTGAGTCCAAGATGGCAGGGCAGGGGTCAGGGTCCCCGGGAGTGGGAGTGGCTTGCCCCTTTGAGGACCAAAAGACTAACACTCACCTTTTATAATAAACAAAAGGGAGGAATGTTAGAAACCAGGCCTGTCCGCCTGCCTTCAGCGACTCAGCGCTAGCAGCTATGTCATCCATCATCACTCGCCAAACGCAACACGTGTACCCTTTAAAAAGATGCACCCTTTAAAAAGTTCCTTGCCAGCACAGCCTGCTCTTTCATTCTGTCTGTCTCTCTCTTTTCCCCACTCCAAGATGGCCTCTCATGCCCCCCACCCCCATCCCCATAGATCTCTTGTATGAGATCTGTTGCACAGTGTGATTTCTGCAGAATTCCTTGGCTGTGATCTGGCGAGGTACTCTGCCGTGGTAACCCTAACAATGCCTCTTTCACTTCTTTACAGGGTATTGGTGTTTACCCTGGTAAGACACAGACAAACCACTGTTTGCTCAGCAGGCATTTAACATTCTAGTTAAGAGGAAGTCGAAGGAAGGGGGCGGGGAATAATGTACAATCCTTGCAATGTCCATGCAGAATCCACAAAGAAAGAACATGCAAAGGCATTGGGATGGAAGTGAATTGGCCATAGCCTGTCAGTCAGCAGAGGAACCAAAACCTCTCCTGTGTGAGACCTGACTGGGGAACTGAAAGTGCCTGGCTTGGGCTTAGTCTTTGAAGAAGTGACTGCAGTCCTGCCTCTGAGGGGTGTGGATACCCCTCCTATGAGATGCTGGGCAATTTATCCTGGAAATGAACATTAAAAAACCTGCCTTAAAAGCCCACAGCCTCAGAGCATGTTGCTTCCTTCTCAATCTGACTTTGATGCTACAGAATCTGAGTCATACATGTAATAACCTTGTCACGGGGTTATTACATACTTTACATACTTTATGCAGAACAACAGTCAGTTGAATGGTACACAAATGGAGTGGTGTGAAAGAAAGGCATTCTTTAGAAGTGGCCTCTCACGTCAGGTGCACGTCAATGTGGTCCAAAATCGGAATTTTAAAGCAAAATGCAGTTTCACAGACTGCTTTGGAACTCTTTATTCCCTTCTAAGAGAGGGAGGAGAATAAGGCATAGACAGACATTTGCT